CTCCTTTTGGTACATTTGGTACACCTTGATATTCAACACCAAGTGTAAGCTCAAACTCTTTAAATTTTCACTTTACGTTTTGTGTTTGCTGAGCTTTCCTTGAGTTAAGAGGAATGAAAATCAGATTGTTATTCTTGAGTACATTTTATGGTATAGTGGCCCGGGATCATTTTTTCCATGACCTACCATCTCCTGGCCCAGTCCCCTGGTTCACCTCAAGAAGTGAGAATTACAGGGGAATATTATGCCATCATAAATAGTCTTGAAGAATTTTTAATGGCTTGGGAAAATGCTCTCTGTATAAAGTTTAATAAAAAAAAATCAAGATAATCTGGATATACACTATGATCCAAATTTGTCTAGACATATACACATTTATAAATACATACATTCAAAAGTAAAAATTTTCACGAAATTGCTAAATTAGCCACCTCCAGATGATGGAATTATACATAACTTTTTCTTTGTTAACTATATTTTTGAGTGTGTTTCTTTAAAATGAGCATGTACAACTTTTATAACCAAAAATAATAATGTAATGGAACCCAACTAATACCTGGAAGCTAAGAATCACCTTTGTGCGGCAAGGACTATATTTTTAAGGTAGTTGCTTACAAAATAAGGTCGCTTATTTCAGAAATGGTTGATAAAGAATTTACATTTATTCTGCAAAAATTTCCCTATGTATTCAAGAATATTCATGATCCTTGTTTTCCCCCACTTGTATTATTTGCTTTTACCTTACTCTTCCCACCCACCATGGGTACAGGTTGATGATAACAGGCTGAGAAGGTAGAGAGAAGAAAGTAGAGGGTAGGGTGCACTACTAACAAAAGTTACTGAATACTTCCCTTGGAGTCTTTCTACCTCTGGACCAATGTGCCCCAAATGGAGGAGAGATAGCATAGAAAACCAGCAATGCCAAGTAGCTTGTATTTTTCTGAATAGTGGAGAACTTAACCCCACCACCAACCCTACTGCCACTGCTAATGAAAAGACGGGATTTTCAGAAGATGGCAGAAGATAATTTTTTGCCCCAAATTTACTGGATCCAGTCACCAGGAGCATAGAATATTTCCTAAGTTGTTTGGCAAGATGACTAGGTCGTAAGATCCTTGAGAGCAAGAACCATGCTCTCCCTCATTTGTTTTCATTGAGCCTATGACAGTGCCTCACACGAAGTTCTCATAGTGTCAAAATCCAGAAAAAAAATATATTTTTGTGGATTTCCGATGACTGCAGAGGCAGTGCCTAACAAGCTGATGAACACTATGAAAAGAGCTTTGTTGTATTAAAGGCCAGCAGTATTTGATGAAATCATTGATCATCAAGGGGTGGGTTATGGAGCATACTGGGGAGTATGTAGCTTTTAAAAGGATGCATCAGAATAAGGTGTGAAGGTGGAGAGAAAGGACACATGAGGTTTGAACAAGCTTATTTAACTATGATTTTATATTTAAAAAGTGAAAGAAGTCTATGTATAATGATTCTCAGGGGTGGAGAGGGTGGTGTGGATGTTTAAGAGTATGAAATATGTCAAAATCTAAGCACGTACTCCAAAACTGGTTAGAAGGCATGGCATATTAATGTGTATGGATTTTTAAAGTTTAAGAATCACTGAACTAAATAACTGGATTCCCCATTCAAACTATCTCATAACTATAAAAATAGAGTTGCCTTAAATATTAATGATTGTGGCCTTCTCTGTCTCCAGATCCAGTGATCATTCCTAACCTGCTTACATGCTTCCAACACTTTATATATAGCTTTATAAAACAATTACCTTTGTAAAAGCTAGAGGATGGTTCTCACCATTTTTTTATTCTCATCTGCTTAAGATCCATTTGACGATTTCTTTTAAAAAATTTTAAATATTTTTGTCTCTAGACTTCTAAGGTTCTCGTGCTTACCAGAGCAGTATTTGTCTGGAAAGCAGACAACAAATATACTAATATGTGATCACATAGAGAAAAAGAGTCAGCATCTAGATAACAGAAGAAAATATACATGTAAGTACACTGCAGGTGGATGGCGGGCTAGCAGAGTACAAATTAAGAGAGAAGGGAGACCCTCGTCATTTAGAATATCAAGCTCAGTCAGTGGTCTTCTCCAACAATTCAGATAAGTGAAGGTCAAGAAAAGGCATGTTTTTGTGCATGTTTCCTAAGTACTTTTAATATAGTCATCCAAAGAGTACTTTTCCTAAGCCTTAACACATTCTAAAGTGGAAACCAATTAAAAGATTTATTTTTATATTCAAGCCCATCTTACAGAGAAAAGCCTCTGCTGGGTCTTAGGGCTTGGAGTGAAACCTTGGGGAAGATCATTTAAGTACCACTTAGCTCACTTCTAAAACCTGGGCAATCAATGGCCATGACAGTTTCTCTCATTTGAGTTTCAAGTAATTCTAAAGAAAAATTGATCACAGATAACCACTTTATAATTTTTAGCAGTGAGTAATCAAAAAATACATTTCTATTTCACATTTAAATTAAACACTCCTATGGGGCTGTTCTCTATAGCAGGGGTCCCCAACTCCTGGACCACGGACTGGTACCAATCCGTGGCCTGTTAGGAACTGGGCTGCACAGCAGGAGGTGAGCAGCAAGTGAGGGAGGTAAGCTTCATCTGTATTTGCAGCCACTCCCCAGTGCTAGCATCACTGCCTCAGCTCCACTTCAGATCATCAGGCATTAGATTCTCATAGGAGTACCACTGCTACAGAGGCTTCATAGGCATCATAGTTTGCAATTCTTTAATTTCCCTAAACGTCAAAATTAAGAAAAGAGAATTCTTAAGAGAAAACCATTCCCCAAATAAGAGATTTAAAGTACAATGTGCTTCTGAGTTTCTTTAGTAAATCTCATTGCAATCCCCAAAATATATGTCTTACAATGCATCCCATAGCTAGGTGAATGCATTCCAGTGGTATGCACCCCCACACGGTTGATAAGATTTTAAGATTTGAAAGGATTGCCAGGGTCCAAATCACATTGATTAACTTCATGACCATGGGCAATCACCCTAACTATACTGCTTCAAGTTCCTTGTCTGGGTAATAGGAATCTTAACAGCAATAGTGCCTACTTCATAAGGTTATTGTCATGAAGATTAAATGAGTTAACCGCCCTAAAGGCTTAGCACAGTCTCTAGCATACAAAAAGGACCCAATAAATGTAAATGAGGTTAACATCAAACAAAGAAAAGAAACCTTACTATAAATCATTTTTGGGGGTGATCACTTCATAAGTATATAAATACCTAATCACTGTTATACACCTGAAAATAATATACTACTATATGTCGACTGTAATTGAAAGATAAAAATTTTTAAAGTCTTGCAATTTAAATTATTGTCAGCAGATCTGTCTCTACTGCCTACAAAAGGGCATTGAGACAAGCTTCTTCTGAGATGACTTTTAACTAAAAGATCTTGTGATAAAGACACAAGCTAGCATACACCAATTCAAATTCCATTCATATAAAATAATTTCCTGATGCTGACTAAAACTATTATCTTCTGAAATATTACCTTTTTTTATACTTTATTTTTCAATTACAGCTGACATTCAATATTATATCAGTTTCAGGTATATAGCATAGTGGTAAAATATTATCTTTCCTAAACCCTAAACCCTCAAAGTCTATAGCTAAGAGCGTAAGCTATAAATTAGAAGCCAATCTCTTTATGTAGCGTTCCCACTAACAAAATCCCACATCACAAACTTCTAATAATGTTTCTTGTCCGCAGATTAATAACCTAGTTCAAAACCACATCATTTCCTTTTTCTGCCTCATTTCCTTCAAAGTGAAACATAATTTTTTCTTGAACCAGAACTAGAAATTTCTAGATTAACTAAGCAAATCATTACCAGAAATGCAATTTTATAATAATAGTATTTCAGCAACTCAACAAAATATAAAATATCTTTGTGGTATCTGTTAATACATAAAAATAACCTAATACATATATAGTATATACTGCCTAAGTGGAAAATTAACTGTATAACTAGACATACAAACAGAAATCACTATAGATTCCATCAATGTCGTATTTTGAAGTCCAGTTAGAAACATTTAAAGAACTGTGACAATTCTTTAAGTCTTGGCCGGATGTCACAAACTACTTAGCACAGTTTTGTTTGGTCAACACAGTATTTTAAAAATTATTAAATTCAAATATCTTTAGGCGAGCCATTCCTTTTTTTTACTTGACAGGCCTTTAAAGACATTTTACTTTGCAAACCTTGATTAAGGCCCAGCCTTACAGAAAAGAGATCAAAAGATAATCATTAGTTAAATGGGTACCTCCTTCACTGATGGCCTGATAAAGTCCAGAGACTTGAAAATTATGGATACTAATAGTTACATTGAGGAATTCTTCTAGTGTGTTTGTTGGATTAGTTTAAAATATATGCTTTCAATGTATGCATCTAACAGCGAATCATTTGATTAGGATTACTGAGTTAAGACTCATTTACAGCTGGATACTGAAAGAAACTAGAAAATAGAAAAACACTTTAAAACATGTACTTATCATATGAAGATTTGAATTAAAGTCTAAATTTTATATTATTTTCAAAAAATTAATAATATTTGGTCAATTGTTGGCTTTTCTTCATAGAATAGGAAGTGAATTTGCTCAATGCAATATTAAGAGAGGAACTAGTTTCTAGTAATGTATTTTAATGAATATTTATACATATACACACATAGAGACACACGCATATATACAAATACTCAGAGTAAGGACTGAGACAACTATTACTCTCATTCTTTTCAGTTCCATCGTACCTTCTGGGAGATTCCATTCCACTTAACAAATTAAGTCTAGGACCCAATTAAGAGAACAATGGGGAGGGTTTCCTAAAGCATTAGTTCATGTATCACTCCAGAGGTGTTAGGTTTTAGGCACTGATGAGGCAAAAGCTAGCTGACTTTAGAGTCCAAACATTATTAGTTAAGTGTTCTTTTAAATTAACATGGAGGAATGCTTCCATTCAGACGGCCCCATTAAGTACACCCTTGTCTCCAGCTTCTTCTTCAGAACACATATACAAGGCACCTTGCAGTGAATTTGCTTCTGGAGGCTGTGCCCCTGAACTCTCATGGATGAGTCTTTCTGGAGCTTCTGGTGAATTTTCCCTCCATCTTGGACTTGAGCGTTGTTGGGAGACTTCCCAGAGTGATGGACATGGAGAAGGGAAACTCAGAGCAGATCGTGACAGGGGATCCTCTTGAAGGCCTGCTTCTTGAACACATCTGTTGGAAAGTACTTCTTTTTCTTTGGAATTCCGCCATTTCATCCTTCTGTTCTGAAACCAAATTTTCACCTATTGATAAATAATTAGACAAAATGATCACTTAGTCCATGTTACGTTGGCATTTTAAACTGTAATTTCTCCTATTTTGCCTTCTACAGAATATCTTATTATGAGAGCCAGCCCAGCAAAGTCCTTGTGGCTTTTCATATGGGCTCCTTCAAAAAAATCTGAGAAATTACTTTAGTACAATATTCCCCCACACAGTTAAGCAACAAAACTACCGTGGTAAATTAGTTATATCCTGTAAGTCTGACATCTTCAAGACTGATTTAACTCTCACATATTTTAAAATATCATTTAGTCTGTGCTAAATTATTTATTAAAAGGAAATGTTATCTACTAGTAATAGCATCTGAGTATTTATTTTGTACCAGGTGTCAGGCACTCTACGTGGATTATATAATTTGATCATCACAATGACTGCAAAAAATCTTCATTTAACATCTAAGAAAACTGAAGTTTAGAGCGATAAGTCAGTTCAAGGTCACATAGCTAGTGAAATGGAAACACGCAGACTTGAATCCATGACTGTTACACTCTAGTGTCCAAGCTCTTATAAATATTCAGACTTCATCAGGAACATTTTATAATGTTTTACTAAATTTCAGGCTTTATACAGTTTCTAAGTTTGATTATTCCCAGAATTTATTAAACTCGAATAATTGGGCTCAATAAATAACAACTGATTGTAATTAACCCAAAAGTACTTATGATGGCGGCTTCTAATTTGAGCCATATATCTTCCGGCTACCCTACTTGAGCCTCTCTTCACTATTAACCTCCTTCTTTACCTACTGTGTAGTCAACTGTGCCTGAGCAGAAACCTTCACAATTGATTTTCTGATATTTTAAAAGTTAATCACATTGTTTTCCTGTGCATTATATTACATCCTTACATGAACAGTTTCATAGATAATCTATTTTCTAAAAAACTGAAAAATTTTTACCAAAAGAAATAATTATTAAAGTATAACCACCAAATATTTCTCCCAATGAAGGAAAATATTCTATTAAAGATAGTCTATCTAGACAGGCAAAACAATTTCTTCATTATTTCAACTTGATTGGCAATGTTCGAAATGGCTAAAAAAGAAACCTACCCCAGGCGATTGAGTTTGAAAGACTGTATTTCAGTTACAATCCTGAGATTAAGGCTTTTCATAAGAAAACAGTACTAATGTGTACATACCAGAGCATTTGGTTCTATTCATGAACTCATTTATTATTTCCAGTGGGCATTTACTCCTAGAAAGCCCGCCAAGTATTTCTAATGGGTTTTCACTAAGACCATTATTTGTTCCCATTAGTGATTCTTGCCTTTCTCATCATATTCATTATTTTCATCTTCCTTTAGCTTTTCTGAATATTTAGACACTTTTTTTGAGTGTTATCTCAATTTTTAAAAAAATCATGAGTTTCTTCATAATCAATGGTACTGGGACAAATGTACATATTTTGGAAAAGCCATACAACAGAAAATAAGAAGTTTATATACAAATAAAGACACCACAAACAGATGAAAAAGTCGCCAACTACACAAAGAATTAAAAGCAAGGACTCAGAAGCTTTTTAGTTTGATGTAGTCCCACTTGTTTATTTTTGCTTTTCTTGCCCTTGCCCAGTATCCAAAAAGATATTACTAAGAAAGATCTCAAAGTTTTATGTTTTCCACCAGGAGTTTCATGGTTTCAGATCTAACATTTAAGTCTTTCATCCATTTTGAGTTTCTTTTTATATATGATGGAAGAAAAGTGGTCCAGTTTTGGTTTTTTGCACGTATCTGTCCAGTGTTCCCAACACCATTTATTGAAGAGACTGTCTTTACCTCACTGCATATTCTTGCCTCCTTTGTCGTAATTGACCACATAAGTGAGGGTTTATTTCTGGGCTCTCTATTCTGTTCCATTGATCTATGTGTCTGTTTTTGTATCAGTATCATACTGTTTTGATTATTACAGCATTGTAGTATAATTTTAAATCAGGGAGTGTGATACCTCTAACTTTGCTCTTCTTTCTCAAGATTGCTTTGCTTATTTGGGATCTTTTGTGCTTCTATATAAATTTGAGTACTACTTGTACTTGTTCTGAGAAGAATGCCATTGGGAAAAGATATTTGCCAATTATATATCCAATAAGGGGCTAATATCCAATATGTATAAGGAACTCCTACAACTCAACGTCGAACAAAAATTAAAAAATTAGCAGAGGACCTGAAGACATTTCTCCAAAGACGACAGGCATATGAAAAGATGGTCAAGATCGCTAATCATCAGGGAAATGCAAATCAAAAGCACATGAGATATCACTTCATACCTGTGAAAATGGGCATTATCAAAAAGTCAACAAATAAGTGTTGATAAGGATGTCAAGAAAAGGGGAACTTCATGCACTGTTGGGTGGGACTGTAAATTTATATAGCCGCTACGCAAAACAGTATGGAAGTACCTCAAAAAATCAAAAACAGAGCTACCATACAACCCAGTGACCACTTCTGGGTTTTCATCCAAAGAAAACTAAAACACTAATTCAAAAAGACATATACACATCCACATTCATTACATTATTTACAACAGCCAAAAGCAACCTACGTGTCCATCGACGGATGAAAGGATAAAAATGTGCAATATATACACAATGGAATATTATTCAGAAATAATAAAGAATGAATTGTTGCCATTTGCAACAACATGGATGAACCTAGAGGGTATTATGCTAAGTGAAATAAGTCAGAGAAAGACAAATACCATATGATTTCACTTACATGTGGAAACAAAAAAAAAGAACAAAAAAAAATAGAAATGTACTCAGATATAGAGAACAAACTAATGATTGCCAGAGGGGAAGTGAGTAGGGGATGAGTGAAAAGGTAAAGGGAAATATGAGGTATAAACTTCCAGTTACAAAATAAGCCATCGAGAGTGTACATCACAGGGAATATAGTCAATAATATCGTAATAACTGCACAGCGACAGATGGTTACTAGACTTACTGTGGTATCACACTGTAAGGTATAGAAATGTCAGTGTTGTATACCTGAAACTGATATTGTATGCCAACTATACTTTAATAAAATAAAAAAAGAGAGAGAGAGACTCATGTTCTTAGCAGCATTATTCAAAATAGCCAAAAGGTGGAAGCAACCCAAGTGTCTATTGGTGGATGAATGCATTGAAATATTATTGAGCCTTAAAAAGGAAGGAAATTCTGACACATGCTACAACATGGATGAACCTTGAAGACATTATGCTAAGTGAGATAAGCCAGTCAAAAAAGGACAAATACAGTATGATTCCACTCATATAAGGTACCTAGAGAAGTCAAATTCATAGAGACAAAGAATAGAATGGTGGTTGCCAGGGCTTGGGGGAGGGAAGAATGGGAAGTCATTGTTTAATGGGTACTAAAACTTTTTCAAGATGAAGAACATTCTAGAGATGGATGGTGGAGATGGTTGTACAACAATGTGAATATACTTAATGCCACTAAATTGTAAATTTAAAAAAGGTTAAAATGGCAAATTTTATGTTATGTATATTCTACCACAATAAAAAAAAAAGCCACAAACTTGGAGAGGATTTTTGCAACAGCTATAAAAGGAAAATGTTACTAACCATAATATTCCAAAATTTTTATTCACAGTCAAAATAACTGCTACATATCAACGAAAAAGACAATATGATAGGAGAAAAAATGGTGCAGCCTTGAAAAGACCAATTCACAGATTAAAAATAGCCAGTAAAATGACTTAAAAACACCCCAGTTCTGGTATTTAGGAAAATTCAAATTAAAAAACAATAAATATCATTTCCAATGAAGTTGACATTTTTAAAAATTATGAATAGTGGGGGGTTTGCAAAATGGGACTGCTTGTTATTAAGAGTGCAAATTTTATATAATTCAGTAGCTTGATATAATATTACACTTGTAAAGGAATTTTTTAATCTATCACAGTTTAAAATGTACATTAACACATAAATCCCACTCCTAGTTCTCTGTCTCACAGAAATATTTTTAAAGTGCATGAAGATATGCAATAGTGAAAACCAGAAGTAACTTAAAGTTGAGGATGCCTAAATGAATTATGTGTATCTATGCAATGGTCTGTTATGAGATATTGAAAAAGAAGTAAATTTTTATGAACAGACATGGAAGGATGCATCTCATGACATTTGAATGGGGAGGGAAAAGGAAAGTGCAAAACAATAGGCATTGTCAGCAGCATTATTTATAATAGCCAAAAACTGGTAACAATCCAAATGCCCACCATTAGAATGTATAAGCTGGTACACCATGTGATGATGTACAGCAATCAGTAATGAGCTACTGTATATGCAACATGAATGAATCTCACAAACATAATGTTAAGTGAAAGAAGCCACATACCAAAGAATATGTACTGAATAATTTTATTTATACAAAGTACAAAAACAGGCAAAATTAGTCTATGCTGTTAGAAGTCATAGTGGAAGGAGCAGGTAGTGACAGGAAAGGGACATGCAAGGGCCACTGGTCCAGGTAAAGTTTTACTGTGTGATCTGGGTGCTGGTTACACAGGTGATTTGTACTGTTCTACAGAAAAAGTCAAAATATGCAGAGTATGGTCCCATTTTTATTTAAAAATATGTATACACAATTCTAGGTCTCAGCTATTTCATTTGTAAAATAGCGAGAAAAGAAGCTATCTCAGACAGTCATTTTAAGGATAAACGACATCAAATGTAAAGGCACATGGTAGTCGTTATGCAAGTGTTTGTGTTATTATCTGTTACTGCATATATAACACACATACCAATTTATTTTTAAACTAATACATGCTATCCAATAAATTCAAAGAGCCATTTAAAAAAAATGACAGTAGTAACCAAGGAGTTGGATTGGAAAAGGAGTAGATGAGTGTTCATTTTTTTTTTCATGAGACACATAGAATTTATTGGGATTAAAGTACTAGAGAGAAACATTCTTGGCAAAATATATTCTTTTATTTTTTATTTTTTTAATCTTTATTATGGTGACATTGATTAACAAAATCTGGTAAGTTTCAAGTGTACAATTCAACAGTAAGTCATATTTATATTGCACTGTATGTTCACCACCCATAGCTAGTTTTTTCTGTCACCACATATTTGACCCTTTTATCCCATCTACCTGTCCCGTCCCAACCCCCAGGTAACCACTAGTCTACTGTCCATGTCCATGAGTCTCTGTTTGTCACATTTGTTTGTTGCTTTTAGATTCATATCCCATGTATAAGTGATATCATGTAGTTTTCAACTTTTTCTGTCTGGCTTATTTTGCTTAACATGATTATCTCAAAGCCATCCACTTTGTTGCAAATGGCAGTATTTCATCTCTTCTTACAGCTGAGTAATAGTCCATTGTATGTATGTACTACATCTACTTTATCCAATCATCTATTGTAGGACACTTCAGTTGCTTCCATGTCCTGGCCACTGTAAATAATGCTGCTATGAACATCGGTGTGCAAATATCTTTTTAGACATATATTTTCAAGTCTTCGGGGTAAATACCCAGTAGAGGAATTGCTTTACCAATTTCTCTTTGAATTAATCATAATAAAAACCATGTATTAATTGTGTAATTAGATCCATAGGCAAATAAGAAAATGTTAAATTAATTCTGAGATGTTCACCAAATTTAATCAGATAAGAAGCATTCATTCCTGAGGCACCTCAATTTTAAAAACAATAATAATCAAATATGTAGAACAATGCCCCTGTTGAAAAGAAATGGAAGATAACATACAAATAGGAAAATAGTTTGTTTCCTTGGAGTGGAGAAATTATGGTCATCTTCCTCAAAAATATTCTTTCATATGCTTGGTGTGTTCTATTTTCAAGTCAATTTTTAAGATCATATGTACTATCAGAGATTTTCACATTTTCTCACAGCACTATCAGATCAAACCTAGCCACTATTCATCTTTAAATACCTCTTTCAAGTTCCTATTCAACCAAAGCCCCCTTCCAACCCTCTGACCTCCCAAACTTGCACATTTTCTCCCCTCTGATTCTAGAATTTCTGATCCATGCCAAGGGGTGCAGACCAGGCCTACCAAACCCCCATGTGGTTCTCACTCAAGCCCCACAATTCCTCTGTGGATCTGATAGCTCCATCACTAGACTCCCACGGCTATGTGGACCAGTCATACAGCTTTTTTCCAGAGATGGGAATTAATGTAAGGTTCCAGAGATCCATAATTTTGAGGACCACTGATCTAGCTCCTTTATTTGGCAGTAAATCTAACCTGCCAGGTGCTTTCTCCTATATGATTATCTTATATTGGCATCTAACTATTCATGAGCTTCTGCTTTGTTTTCTCAGTGGCTTGTATAAATTCCTGGGGTGCAAATGATGTATCTTAACCAGCACTTATCAGTATTCCCCCTTACTGCCTACCTACTACAGTAGCTTGCATAGAATAGACCATCTAGACACAACTTCTTATTTATATGTCATATACCCAAAACTGCTTTGTGACATAGAATTCCTGTATTTGTCCCTGCTTTTTAAGTGAGAAACTGAAGTACAGAGCAGTCAATTAAGGTTATGGACTTATTAATTACCACATAATGAGTAAAACACAGACTGGCTTATCTAGACCAATTTCCCTTGACTACAACACATACTGCTTCCTAAGACTAGAAAAAGTTGGGGTGGGGTGGAGAATGGGGAACAAATTACTTCCCTAGGGAAAGGAAGCAAGGTTAAGAAGAGTTTCATCCAAATATAACTGGTTTAACTAAAATCCAAAGTTAGAAACCAGGTAATTTGTACTGAGGGAAGAACAGAACATGGTAGCTAACACAGAACCTCGGTTAGCCCTTCAATACCTTTATACTAATTCAAAAAAGCCAGGTTGGCAAGCAGAGTACCTGCTGCGTTTCAGTTGCTACCATCCTCCTCAGCCAAGTGCTCTTGTGTAGTGAATATCCTGCACCATTGTACATGGTGGCTCTAGGTTAAGAAGAATGTAAACTCCAGAGTCAGGTTGCCTGGGCTGGGAGTCCAGTTCCAAAGCAGCTTTACTATGTGACATTGGATCTACGTTTCTTCCTCTACATTTCTTCATTTGGAAAATGTGGATGATTCTAGTGCTTATTTCATATGGTGACTATAAGGATTGAACAGGAAATGCTAGAGGCTTACACTGCTAATTACTTATAATTAGCAGGCCAATCTTTAAATAGAGTATTCTGCATTTCCTGAAAGGCCAGAAAGTCTCATTCAAAATTATATGAAACATCAATGTACAAGAAAGCTTTCTAAGTGTTGCAAATATGAAATTACTTAACTATACTTGACATAAGCCCAAAGTGCAAAATAATGAAATCCATTAAGAGGCAATTGCACCACTCATTCATACCTTGATTTTGGTTGGAAATGAAGAAAAAGACAGGAAAATCAATTCCTGTTTTTGTAGAGAATTAAGTAGCCTGCTTTTCTGAAAACACAGTAAATAATGTAATGATGTAAATGCCATATCCTTAGTATTTTTGTTCATTTAGGAAGAATTAATAAGGCGAAAACTTAGACCTCTCAGCAAATGAACCTATTTCCAAATCATAATTGTGACATATATTTATCTCTGCCCACTAAAAAAAAAAATTATGAAAATCATTTCAATAGTGCTTCAGGGCCCAGCCTAATACAATAAAAATATGCCAAGTGAATGGCTTTCATTGTATTCCTTCAGAAATCAGGAGCAGTGGACATCTTCCTGCTCATTAGTACCTGTGATTCCTTTAGTCCCAAGTTGATGGCAAGTTTCTTTCGGTCTGTTTTGCTGATATATTTCTGCTTCTGAAACATTTTCTCCAGAGCCTTTCTCTGGTCCTCAGAAAAGACGGCTCTTCTTAAAATACCCCTCCGAGCTTTGGAGTTAGAGTCCTGTGTCAGGAGAGGCAGCACACTCTCTTCTCCTAGAAGGGGAAAAAGATACAAAAGCCCAGTTAGCTTTTAGTGAGGATAAGTCAGTCTGTCTCTCCCAGGACAATATCCTCCTTCTTCATACCATGGACAAATTCTCTTGTCTCTGAACTCTGTGAACTTAGAACAGTACTTCTTTACTTCTTTTTGGTCATGGACTCCCTTGGGAATCTGTTACTCTTTGCCTCACATTGGGGAAAAAGTACATATGCTTGTCCTGTCAATTTTGCATGCCATGTCAGAAAATCCACGGTCCTAGGTTACAAAGCTCCAATGTATAACAAGTAGAAAGTGGTTTAAACACATCATTTTTCTCTAAGTCTTCATGTATTCATTTTGTCAAGAAATTTTTGAACACTGACCACATTCCAGGCACTCTGCTCAAGCCTACTCACTAGATAAGACGTAGGATTTATTGCACTTGTTACCTATAAAATCTAGTGGAAGGCATTTAATAAATTAGCATTGCAAGTGTAATAAAGTATTCCTAAAGAGTGTGCCTTAGGAGTACAAAACAAGGGGTCTAATCTTAATCTGCAGTGTCAGGGAAAGCTTGCAAGAATCAGAGATGCTTAATTTGAGAAGGGAGGCTTGGAAGACCCTCAATCATCACCCCGCTCCCTACAATTCAATTGACCAGCAACTCCTTCAAATCCGAGGCATTTACTACTTTTTCTGTCCTTTTGTGGCTAACACAATACTGGTTCCCACCCTCTGAAAATTTCATTCATTATCCACCATTCATTCATTTATTCATCTCCCCAATCATGGTAGGCAGAATAATGGCCTTTCCAAAGATACTTACGTCCTAATTCTCATTCCCTAAAAATATGTTACATTACATGGCAAGGGGGAATTAGGGTTGCGGATGGAATTACAGTTGCTAACCAGCTGACCTTGAGATTAGGAGAGTATCCTGGAATATTTAAGTAAGCCCAATGTAATTACAAGGGTCCTTATAAGTAGAAGAGGGAGGCAAAAAAGGAAGTTATAGTCAGAGAGAGATTTGAAGACACTACACTTCTTGCTTTGATGATAGAGGAAGAAGCCATGAGCCAGGAAATTCAGACAGCCACTAGAAACTGGAAAGGGCAAGGAAACAGATTCTCCCCCAGAGCTTACAGAAGTAATGTAGCCCTGCTGACAACTCAATTTTAGATGGTGAAACCATTTCAGTCTTTATACCTCCATAATTGTAAGATAATAAGTTTGTATTATTTTCAGATGCTAGGTTTGTGGAAATTTGTTACAGCAGCAAGAAGACAGTAATACACTGGGTATCAGGCTCACTGGGCTAATTGCTAGGGAAACCAGACAAATAGCACATGGTCCTTACCCTCAAGGAGCTCCCTTTCTCAGGGGAGGATGGACACATGAACATCACTCCAGAAATAGGTACCAGGGGATCAGGTACTCTAGTTTACAGCTGTAGCTGGTATGCATATTGGTGCTTGGTGCTTAATAATTACTTCTAAATAAACAAGCAAATGAATGTTTTAAGTACTAGAATACAATAATCTATAAGAAAAAAAAAACAAACTCTGGCATCACAAAGGAGGAAATGATGAGTTTAGAGAAAATAGACTGAGCCAAGTCTAAAAGAACAAACCAGTTGAAAAGAAAAAGAACCAAGGCCAATCCGAACAGAGTGACTAGCATGTCCAAAAGCACTAAGGCACAAAAGAATGAAGTTTATGCAAGGAAAAGTAAGCAGTCTGCAAGGCTAGGGAAGGGCATGAAGCAGAGTGTGCAACCTGGCGACGATATCCAGCTTGTAGATGGGCTTAGAGTGTTTGGTCTTAGAGTATTAAGAATCTTGATTTAATTGTCCTATATATTAACTGGGAGGTTTCATGGGAAGTTCAAGTTTCCAATATCTCTTCAAAGGTAACTGCACTGGGATCACTTTTCCACAAAGCAAAGAGCTACAGGGGTAAGTAGCAGGTACTCCATTGAGATGCAGTATGTAATTCCCGTTTGCCATAGCCTCATCTAGCTTGTATTTTCCCTGCCAGGCTCTTGAAGACATTTGGACCTCTGGCATAGAGATTATGGAGTGGAATAGAGCCAGATCACAGAGGACTACAAGGGTTTGGGACATTATCCAATAGGTAGTGAAGGTCAATAAAAGATGTTTAAGCAGGGTGTGACATGATCATAAAAAATATACACTGAGCCCTTACTCTGTACCATTGCACTTACTCTGTGTTAAACTGCATTATTTCATTTACTCCTGAAGTACATTATTTCATTTACTCCTCAACCAATCAATTCCAGGAACACTATTATTATTTTCCCCATTTTACAGATAAAATGAAGCTTAAGTAGCTTAAGAAACTTTGTTCAAAGTCATATGGCAGGGGTTTCAAAAGCAGGAAGACTGATTCCAAAACAAAAGCTCCTCACCCTACACAATACTTACACAATCTGACTTGTATTTTAGAAAGAAAATGGCAATAAATAAATAAATCTTGTTGTCTACTTCTATAATATGAAGCTTCCTGTCCTATTTGTCTAAAATACTGCAAATATCTCCCAGTTAGTCCCTCATTCCGGTTCAGCCTCGGAATGCAAGAACTACTGGCCTCTCCTTCTTTCCTTCTAGCTCTGTAACAACTGCACCTCCTTAGAAATGTCATAGCCCCTGGGATGTAATGCTGCCCAATTCTTCACAAAGGTCTATCCATTTATCCTCTCATAGGATCTTAGTTAATTCTCCATTTACAGTACCGACTTTTTTGATTGTCTCATTCGATTATCACAGCTTGAAGTCAGGTTTTGACAACTGGATTCACAATTTCATTAGAAATTTAAATGGTTTTATGAAATACTAGTCAATAAAAATATTCTAAATACCTCAATATGTTCATCTTTTTCTAAATGTTTTTCTTTTTTGAACTTTCCTTGGAATAGAGACCTTGGAATTGGCCCTCCTACATTATTTCAGAGCCCAGATTTATCTGGTGGGAAGATGGTTCTCTAGGAAACCTCAGGACAAAGGACTTTGGAGGATGGTACAAATGGGTCTAGATCTCAGCACTTACTAGAGTGACATGGATCAAGTTAGTTTCTTCTAGCTTATCTTATAGGGTTGCTGTAAGGATTTGATGAAATAGCACAAGAAAATTTCAGTGCCAAGCCCACAGTAAAGATCTCACAAATCTATTTTACTTCTTCTCATTAGATTTCATTTGATTCTTCTAACAGTCATATGCCACAGACATCTTCTATACAGATGAAGTGTTCAGAGTGATTAAGGTCTAAAGCTACGCAAAGGACACAGAGCTCAGCTGGTAGCAAGGCTTTCTAAATCTAAATTCTTGGCTCCATCCTCCACCCCACACTGCTTCTTTACTCAGGCATGACGGGCCAAGAATGGGAAGGAAGAAACATTTATAAACACAGCCAGAGCTCTTGTTTGTGACTACAGGCTTCTATACGCTGTCCTGGATCAGTCTGTGGACCTGAACTCAATGGTACCTCCTGTATAGCCTGGTAACTGTGTCCTCAAATTCCAGTGTGTCCTTCTTACTTCATATTTTAGTTGTGGAAGTCTTAGTTTAAAGGATGGGGAGCATGGCATAGGGAATGCAGTTAGCAGTAATGTAATGGCAAGGTGTAGAACCAGAGGAGAGAGAACAATCAAGGGGATCATTTATAAACTATATAAATGTCTAACCAATGTACTGTATACTTGAAACTAAAAATAAAATAAAATTAAAAAATAAATATATACACGTGTGTGTGTGTGTGTGTGTGTCTGTGTGTGTGTGTGTGTGTGTGTTCTACCATTATTACAGCCATATGTATCAAACACTTAGGAACCAGAGGAGAGAGAACAATCAAGGGGATCATTTATAAACTATATAAATGTCTAACCAATGTACTGTATACTTGAAACTAAAAATAAAATAAAATTAAAAAATAAATATATACACGTGTGTGTGTGTGTGTGTGTGTGTGTGTGTGTGTGTGTGTGTGTATTCTACCACTATTACAGCCATATGTATCAAACACTTAGAGGAAGAAACCTACATATCCAAAAGTAAAGTACATTACGCTAAATTGACTCAGTAAAGTTTTAAAAAACTATTAAAGATGAGGACTATGATGATCAGGCAAGAGCAAAGAAAATATACCATAATACATATGACACATAAGATACATACTATGCTTACAACTAAATAAAATTCAGGGAAAAAAGATTGAAAAGTCAAAAGTAAACACTAAGATAAGCTAGTGTTATAGTTATGAACAAATAATTTCTCTCTACTTCAGATTTTAAGTCTGGTTCTATTTTCTAAGGAAAACAAGCAAACATTGTAGCAACAGTTTTGAGAGAATGATCTGGCAGAGTGATTGAATTGTTGCTGAGTGACAAGTGAAGATGAATCCAATCCATCCTTCAGGTGCTCACAGCTGATAAGGAGAGGTCTGAGAAGAATACAGACAGCCACGATACAGTGAGATAAATACCTGCAGATCATAGCAGAAAAAAAAAACATTTATTTAAAGCACCAGATAAAAAGTTACTTATTCTTGGAGCCCAACAGAGTAAGTCCTGAAAGAGAAAAGTAGCTAGAAGAATAGCAATTTCAAGATTATGCATGGTAATGGTAGAAAAACATAGACCAATGGAACAGAATTGGGAGCCCAGAAATAAATTTACATGTATACATGGGCAAATAATTTTTGACAAAGGAGCCAAAAAACATACAATGGAGAAAAGAAGTCCTCCTCAACAAATGGTGCTGGGAAAATTGGAAAGCCATATGCAAAAGATTGAAACTAGGCAACTATTTGATATCATACACAAAGATTAACTCAAACTAAGTCAAAGACCTAAATACAAGGCCTGAAACAAAATGCATGGAAGAAAACATAGGTACTAAACTCGTGGACCTTGGTTTTAGAGATTTTATGAATTTAACCTCATAGACAAAGGAAGTAAAAGCAAAAGTAAATGAATGGGACTATATCAAACTAAAAAGCT